CACAACCATCTATAATGAGATCTGGTGCCCTCTTCTGGCATTCAGGCATATGTGCAGGCAGAACACTATATATGTAATAAATAAATAAATCTTTAAATAAATAAATAAATAAAGTTATTTACAGAGCCATAGTAATGAAAAAAAGCATGGCAGTAACATCAAAATAAACATAGATCAATTGAACAGAAGACTCAGTCATAAGTAAGCACTTATGCGATAAGCACTTATGAGATAAGCATAAGTGGATAGGAAAGACTATTAGCAATAGTGGAGAGGGTGCCTGAACTGGCTAGTAGTCAGATCGGTAAATACCCTAACTGTCATCATAGAGCCTTCATCCAGTAACTGATGGAAGCAGATGCAGAGATCCACAGCCAAGAACCAGACTGAGCTCCAGGAGTCCAGTCGAAGACAGAGAGGAGGGATTCTATGACCAAGGGGCATCAAGATCATGATGGGGAAACCTATAGAGACAACCAAACCAAACTAGTGAAAACTCATAAAATTTAGACCAACAGCTGTGGAGCCTCCATGGGACTAGACTAGGCCCTCTGCATAAGCGAAACAGTTGTGTAGCTTGGTCTGCTTAAGGGGCCCTCTGGGAGTAGGATCAGGATCCATCCCTGGTGCATGAGCTGGCTTTTTGGAGCCCACTACCTATGGTGGGACACCTTGCACAGCCTTGATGCAGGGGGAGGGGCTTGGACCTGCCTCTACTGAATGTACCAGGCTCTGCTGACTCCCCATGGGAGGCCATACCTTGTTAGAGGAGGCAATGCAGGGTGAATTGTGGCAGGGAAGGCTGGAGTGGTGGGAGGAGGGAAGAGAGGGGAATCTGTGGTTGATATGAATGAATGAATAAAAAATGAATTAAAAATTCCTTGAAAATAAGTAAATAATAGATAGATAGATAGAGAGAGAGAGAGAGAGAGAGAGAGAGAGAGAGAGATAGATAGATAGATAGATAGATAGATAGATAGATAAAATACCTTTTAAAGTGTTCAAAGGCCATGCCTTTAATTCTGACTCACAGAGGCAGGTGGATCTCTGTGAGTTCCAGGACAGCCCTGTCTACTTAATAAGACCCTGTCTCAAAAGAAAAAAGTGTCCAACATCCTTAACAATCAGGAAAATGAAGATTAAAACTACTTTGAGATTCCATCTTACCTCAGTTGTAATGACTCAATTCAAAGCAATAACTGACAGCAAGTGCTGGCAGGATGTGGAGAAAAAGGAACCCTTAGTCACTGTTGGTGGTGTTGAAAACTGGTGCAGCCACTACAGAAATCAGTATGAAAATCCTCAAAATTCTCAAAATAGATCATAGGACCAGCACTACCACCCTTTGGAGTGTGCTCAGTGACTCAACACCCTACTACAAAGATGCTTGCCATATTCTTTGCCACTCTATTCACAAAAGCTAGGAAATAGAAGCGGCCTAGCTACCCATCAATGGTGAATGAAGAGTAAAAAGTGACACATTTACATAACTGAATTCTACTCCTTTGTGAAGAAACAAATTCACAGGTAAATGAATGGAACTTAAAATATTATACTGAGTGATGTAGCCAAGACCCAGAAGGACAAACAATCATGTTCTCTCATGTTTTTAGATCCTAGATCCAAATCTTTAAATTTAAGTGTATAGTTTGGAATAACCACAGAAGTTGGGAAAGCAGAAAGGGATCACTGGAGAAGGCAAGGAGAAGGAGGGATCTCTAGAGAAGATGAGAGCAGGACACAGGTGCTATGAAGGGAGCGAGGGTCAAAATAGAGAAGAGGGAACTAACTGGGAAGGAATGAGAGGATAGTGCAAAAAACATGGAGGGATGGAGAGGGACAAATAACAGTAAGTATGCTTGGAAAAAGCCACATAAAAGCCTGTTATTTTATAAACTTACAAGAGAGAATGAGCTGATAGAATTGATTCATTCAGTGTGATAATGCATCCCTTAGAAGCCAAAGACCAACAAAAACCCCAGGGCCAGGCATGGGATCCCACCCTTTGAGGTTGGCTGGGGAGAACAAGAGCCCACCAAAACAATATAGGCTATTGTCACGGGTCTTGGTTGCCTTCCAGAACTTGACGGTATGATATGATTACTGAATACACACACTTCTGTTGATCAAAGGACTTGGAGAAAATCCAGCTAGCACTGACATGGTCTCCTCCCTAAGGCCTAGCTGTCATCGTGTTGAAAGGCACCACACAAGCTGCCAAGAGAGAAGAGTATATCAACAGTCCTACCCAGTTGTAAATCCTGAGACGGGGGGGGGGGGGGGGGGGGGGGGGGGGGGGGGGGGGGGGGGGGGGAGGCGGGAGGGGGGGAGAAGACAGCATGACAGAGACAGAGAGACAGAGACATAGAATATTTTGAAAATGGGGGAGACAAGGATAAAACAATAATTTTGCTGTTTACAAAATACATTGACATTATTTACATACTGTGTCATAAAGATAATTGTTATCAATGGCAGAAATTTTTTAAGTACAGCTTTTTTCTCATTTACTCTTTGAGAATTTCATATATGTATATCATGTATTATGTTTTGTAACTGCCCCTCATTTCTCCGCTCCAGTTCCCCCAGCACACTCTTACCACATCCTTCTCCCCAACTCTCCTGGAAACTTTTTTTTTCTTTTTGGGTTTTTTAATTTTTTTTAGTCAAGACCTATCTGTTATGTAGCTCTGGATGTCCTAGAACTCACAGAGATCCACCTGTCTCTGCCTCCCAAGTTCTGGGATTAAAGGTGTGCACCTCTCCCAGCTCTCATATATATAAATATGCACATAGGGACGGGGCCATCCACTGAATCGTGGGCAACCTATCTGTGGCTACAACCCCAAAGAAAAATGACTATCCCTCCCCACAGCTTCCAGCACTCTCAATAGCTCCTGAGGGGTGTAGCATCCCCATGAGGTGCCACTCCCCATCCGTGGGAAAAATCTGACCACTTGATCTTGGGCAACAAACAAAAGCTGCTGTGAGCTCAGAAAACAGCATTCCTTCGTACTCCTCCACATCCTCTGGCTCTTCTATTCTTCCTACCCTTTCCTTCTTCCATGATATTCCCTGGGCCTTGACAGGGTGTGGAGGTTTAATATAAATGTCTCGTTTAGGGCTGAGCACTCACGGTTACTTATCCTTAGCACTTTGCCCAGTGTAAGACTCTGCATTCATGACTGCAGAAATAAACATCCCTGTCAACGGTTAGAAATAGCCCATATCTATAGGTGTATGCATAAATATTTCAAAGACAGTTTGACAGCAGGACAATATAGGAAAAAATAACAATTGTAGGAGCCCTTCTAGGGTCTGTGGCCTCCAGGGCCACAGACTTTTGACTAGGTTTCCAGACCTAGGCATGAACTGCCTCCTATTAACAAGGCCTTCAGATCCAGCCATAGAGGAGTTGGTTGTCCACTGGGGTCATGCCACTACTGCACCAGTGAGCACATCTTGCTTGGCAAGAAAGTTTCGTAGCATGTGGGGGTCCAGTGCTAGGTAAGATCATTCGTGTCTTTTTTTTTTTCCATTTCGGGGGTCTGAGTACCACTTTTTTAGCACCAGGGAAAACTAGACGACAGAGAGGAAAACTCCTGGTCAACTTGAAATTGACCTCTCTACGTCCTACAACCAAAATATGTGGTGGTCTTCAGCAATGGGATCTTACTATTTATTTATGATAGACAACTAAGAGTAATGGCAACAGCCTAGGATGTTTACAGCTCTCTGGAGCCTCCCTTACTAGTAATTCAAAGGGAGGTCGCTTATGCCAAGCACTGAAGCTTTCACTTAATAACCCATGTCTTCAGGGAGCAGTATTGACTTTCTTAAATAACATTATTTGAAGCTATTAGGTCTGTAGTTGGGTATGAAGGTGTCTTTCTCCCAAAATACCAGCTTCCTCAATGTTCCCTGTAATTGGCAGAATCTCTACTTTCCTAAAGTGTATACTGACTCATCCCTTCTTCGGAAACTAGTCTCAGATGGTGATTCCATGTATAAAATCATACCTTTGGAAAGACTAAGAGGGCAGAAAAAGTTTTAAGCAGCTGCTGTTCTGTCTATATCCATATCACTCTTATCTGCTCATGGAGAAAAACCTATGCATACTGATGTTTCCCTTTTAAGTGACCCAAAGATAACTTCCTAATCTTGTTTGATACTGATGTATCAAGTAACCGACTGCCTCAAGAGTAGGGCAGAGTTGACTTTAGACTTGTTTGCTTCCAGTAGAACATTCTAAATGTTCTTCCTCTTCCCACAGAGAATATGCACCAAAGATTTTCTGTAATTCTTGCACAGGAGCCAACTTAAATTTCTTTTTTAAAAACGGTTATCGCTAGTCAATTATCCTCAGATGAAAATACCTAAGAAACTCTGAGAGGAAAAAATTCATAAAATTTTCAGCATCTAGTTAACATTTTCATCTTCCCTTTCAAGTCCTAGATGGCTATTTTGGTGTTTCACTCTAGGGTATATGTGTTGGTGGGGTGGGGGTGGGAGATTACTTTTACCATAATAAACATGAGGGTCAAAATCTTGAGAATGTCGGCATTAGGTCACTAGCTTTATATACAGATAAGCACTTGTACAAAACAGATAATGGCTTGTTTTCTACCTATTTTACATATATTTCCCCAAGCTCACCGAAATGATTGTCTTCAAAGCCTGTGTCCATTATCCCCTTGCTGTCTTCCCTGCAATCGTGCCTCTGAATAAATACAGGGGCTGAGTTACAATTTAAAATAATGAGACCCTACAGGCCCAGTGTCCTCACATGCAATAAAAGGGTGTGGACTAATTGCAGGAGCACAATTTTTTTCCTACATTTGCTTCACTTTGATTGGTGGATTGGTGCTTTAAATAAAGGTTTCTGATCTTTCCAGAATGAGAGACACAGAGAAAGCCCCAGGCACAGTGCAGAAAAAAAAATTAATCTACTTCTCTTAGAACTATTTTGATTGGCATCATCAGGCCTGGGAGCACAGTGAATGTCAGCATCTAAGGTAAAAAGTGATTTATCATTTATCATTTCCATATGTTTGCTGTAAATTCTCTTTTCCTATCTCCAGATAACCTTTACAAAAAGACTATTTCAACCATTAGAATGTTCCAGAAAATATAATAATACCATTTGGCTAAGAAAATAAACTTATTTGTACAACTTTTAAAAAATGTTTGTGTCTATTAGTGATGGTGCCTAATGTATAAAAGTATGGAGGGTGAGCACAAGTTCTAATCAGATGTGCATTCAGGCCAAAGTAATGGGCCTTTTGAACTTACAAAATACATTTTAAGATTATTCAATTTTAGGAAGGAAAAATCACTAATATCAAAGGGGATAAATATAGTCAACACTAACTTGAAAGCTATGTGTTGAAATGATTCTGTATTATGATCCAATTATAGATTTATTTCAAATGCACTTCAAATTTTATCTGAACTTAAACAAAGAATAAAATTCTGTGACTTGTAATTGCTAGACCCATCTTATGAAGTGAAGCATAGCATTTAAAGAATATTCCTGGAGGTTGCTCTTAAATGTTCGTTTGGATTGTAGCTTCATAACAATAAGTGCTCAGATACATATTTTAACTGTTCGTCATTTTGTCCTGGGAACCACTTGTTCAGCGACACTTGGCTTTTGTTAATTTGTGGTTGTTAATGATGATTGCTTGCTTGCTTGCTTGCTTTTTACCTGATTCTCTTTGGAAGAACAGACACTCACTCTTAGAAATGTACTTTGACCATTATGAACGCAATTCTGCCTGATGTAATTTTCCAATCCAACTGTGTTTTAGATTCCACTTTTCAAAATGAAGGGCCTGATCCTGTTCCTGTCCCTAGTGAAAATGAGCCTGGCAGTGCCGGTAAGTCCATCCCAGGGGATCTGTGAGGATCCTGAGTCTGACTGAAGCAACCCTGGAGGGTTATCTGAGAGTCCAAGCACTGATTCCCTTGACTGAATACAGTGTGTAGCTCCTGGTGAATCAAGAGTTGCGGTGGCCAGACATCAGTTTTATCATCTAAAAGCAATAAGGCCAATACAATCTTCTACTCCAAAAAATATTTTAGAATATTTCAAAGACAACTTCTATGTCTCATTTCATTCTTTTAAAAGTTAACAGACTGAAGTGTCATGGTTCTCATTATGCTATTTTATTATCAATTCCTTGCTATCATCATGAAATTGAAGTGAAAAGAGAAAACATCTCCAAGGGGGAAAACTGTGTGTCTCTTTATATTAGCAACATTACATGGTTATAAAACTAAAGCACATAGTTCCAGTTAAAGCTAGTCATTAGCTGGCACATTTAGCTGTTCAACCACCCAACAGGAATTTTTAAATGAAAGAAAAATTGAGGCAGGCTACCTAACTTGCCGTTGTATGATAACTGAGACTGAGGTCCATTTCAGTCATCTATCATCGATCTAAAACATTGGCTCTCTTTGAATATATAGTGATCCATATCTGAGTACTTCAGAGTCACACTGAGGAATAGGGAAACCACTTGTCTGTCCATTGGATCAGATGTTTCTGCTTTTAATTCCCCACAGGAAATGCATCTCTGTGTATTTATATCCATGTAAATAATGTTCCTCTTTAATGCATGGCTTGGAGTAGGTATAAGCAAACTACTTAGACCTATAGTTAGAGCTCTCCAAAATTTGGAATTAGGACACTTACCAATAAGGGTGAAGGTGGCTCTGCTCTCACAATACCCCCAAATTCTGAACATCTCCTGGTACACACATGCACACAGGCGCACACAATCACTCTCCTTGTCTACACAGCTCATCCATTTCTCTACTAAAAGTGTTTACTACACATTTTTAATGGCTTTCCTTCAACATAAGGCCAAAATGAATTATTTGGAAAAATTTGGATTGTAACTCAGAAAGTGGGGTCATACTTGTATGAAAAAGTTAAGGATTAAAAAAAAGTACAGGGTGGAATTCCTTAGCCTCTTATTCCTAAAAGATAAGGATCCCACTGTTCCATACTTGTGGGGTGAATGGATGGACAGACAAAAAGGTGCTTGTAGTATAAATGAAAGAATTACAATCTCAACACTCGGTAAATGAAAATATCCATGAAATCAAAGACTCTCAAAATCCAATTTTTTGGTAGGTTAAGTAGCACAGAATTGATCCAGCACCCAGGAAGCTGAGAATATTGTGAATTAGTAGCCAGCCTTGGCTACATAAGTTCAAGGCCAGCCTGAGCTAAATCCCAAAGGCTGGTCTAAAACAAGTAAGTAAATATTTTTTTAAAAAACTTTAAATTTAAAAATCTAATTTCTCTTCCAGTCTCCACCCACCCTCAGACACTGGTATTTGTGCTTATTACCATACAAAAAAATTAAAAATGACTAGAAAGAGAAGTATTTTATATATTTAGAGAGCTACTTGTAAATATACTTATGCTTCACAATAGCACAGTACTTAGTGCTAGAATATTTTTTATTTGTGGAAAAATAATTCACTGTATGATTGAAAAATTAAAGCTATATTTTATTATTTTTATTTATGTGAATGTGTGTGTGTATCACACACACACACACACACACACACACACACACACGTGCGTGCACCCGAGTGTGTGTAGGTGCACATGAGTGCAGGCACCTGAGGAGGTCAGAGACATCAATCCTCCTGGAGCTAGCATTTCAGATGGTTATGAGCCACCTGACATGGATGCTGGAAACCAAACCCAGGTCTTCTGGAAGAACAACAGGTGCTCTTAATGCTGAGCCATATGTCCAGCCTGTGATCTAAAAATTTAAACACAGATCCATGAGCTTATACCCAGAATAATCTTAAATAATGGCACTGAGAAGCCATTTGAATGGGAGGCAAGATAGGGCTGCACATGTCTTTTCTCAATGCATAACCTCATCCATATCCCATAAGCAAAAAGCACAGATGTTTATAAAAAAGCACAAGAACATTTAGCTCACATGTATCTCTTTTGCTTTTACACATGATCATAATTAAGACTATGAAGTACTCTTGTGTTTTGTTCCCTTATTTTATTTCTCATTGTAAATCAGTTTTCTTTCAAAGAAACATATTATTAAAATGAACCAAAAAAATATGTGCGAGCAAAAGTACTAAGTATAACAATTCCTCCAAATGATTTGAATTCTTCATTCTGTCTGAAAAACCAAGTCATTTGAGTAATAAACCAATATGGTAGCCTCTTAGACATTCTATTCAGCAGTGACCTTCTACTCCAAACATACATTTACAGAAGTTTCTCAACAAAGAACTCAAGATCATTCATATTTCTATTTAGGCATTTCCTCAACAACCTGGGGCTCAAAACATGGCACCTCCGGGCATGGCTAGTTTGAGTCTTGAGGTATGTATCATCAGTCATTTATATATACATATGTGTGTGTGTGTGTGTGTGTGTGTGTGTGTGTGTGTGTGTGTGTGTGCAGTTTCTATACTAGCATGTCCCTGATTGTAGATAGATATGGTGTATTGTTTCTCCCTCTTCCTAGTCCAGAAATCTTTGGCTGTCATTCTGAGCAATTCTAAAATGTTAATGGTATTCATTACAATTTTATCTTATAAATTCTACTTCAGTTTTAAACTCTGAGGTATTTTAAGTTTTAGGTCATTTATATGTGAATCAAAGCAACACTAATAATTAATACTTAATATATGTACATTAATTAATTAACTATTGTACCTGCTGAAACATTATTCTGTAGCTGAAAACAGATTCCATTTATCTCTGATGCTTATATCTTAGATAATAAAGCTCTCATGACATAAACATATTTGCACAAAGTTTAGCTGTTAAAAAAAGATCCTATCAGTAGCATTAACATTAATATATATTGTTTAGAAAACCACAGTAAGATAGGAAGATTTTATAATGAAGAAGCTAACAGAAAGTACTATGAGGCTATAAATATACTGAGAGCAATCAGTACATATATGAGCCAGATAGTTATTTCACATGGAAAGCTAACTTCATTGAGGGTTTTCCCTCATCTTTCTGCTCAAACTCAATACAAGCAACATTATTCTTTTCCCATTTAAAAGGTGAATCTAGGCCAGGTATGGTAGAGCTCACCTGTAGTCTCAACATCCAGGGAGACTGAGGTGAGAAGGAGGATCATGAGTTGATCCTCCAGGGTCCCCATGGAGACCAACCTGGGCTCTACAGGGAGACCCAGTCTCAAAAAAAAAAAAAAAGAAAGAAAGAAAGAAATTTACTTTCCACAGAAACAATGGCATTCTTGGCAATCTACCTAGATACCACTTCTTACAATATTTAATATCTATTATATTAAGGTCCTTTTTGGCTGAGGGGAAAAGAAATGACAGTTTATTTGTATTGTCTCTTTTTCCAAATTCTTTTTCATGCTGATTTTGTAAAGTAAATAAATTAACATAATTTAATTGAGGGAAAGAGAGTTGATAAAGCAATAGTCTCATAAATGACCTTGTATTGAATGAGCTATTTTCCTATGTCTCCGTGTGACATCCAATTTACTAGTATTTTCCCATTTAATGAATGGCAAAAAAAAAAAAGCTCACTGTTTTCACAGACTGACCATGTCAACATCTCTTTCCTTCAGTGATAACTTGTGTCTATTTTAGCTTTATTCAAGTTGACCTACCCCAAGATTTGCATTGATGATGTTAAATGTCATAAGAAACCAACTGTGTCCAATGGGCAGCTAACCTATGTTAGCACACTAACCCACTTTTTTTTTTATAGACAATGAGACAGTTGGGAAGCTTGCAGGGACTCAACGCACTTTCTCAGGTAACTATTGGACATGAATGAGATCTTCCTAAAAACTTTATTTTTAAACAGTTATTATGAGCATTCATGGTTGGTGGCTATGACAGCAACAGCATGGTAACTGATGACATTTGTTTATTAATTGGCAATGCCCAAACATTAAGAGAAGAAATGAGTGATTAAGAAAGATTTAAACAAAAAAGAATGTGATAGTCAAGCATGGGCCTCACTCCTGTCACCCCAGGGGTTGGAAGACTATGGCAGGAAGAGTGCTGTGAGTTCAGAGTCAGCCTAGGCTACATAGTTGGTCTCAAAAAAAAGGTTATAGTAGTGATGATATGTGGTGGCAGAGGAAAGTAAAACAATATACCCAACACTCAGAAGACTGAAACAGCAAGATTGCAAAGTCAAGACCAACCTAGGGACATGGTGTCGTATAACCCTGTCTCAAAACACCAAAAAAATAAACCATCAAAACACATGCACTGAATTTCTTTAAGTAAGTAAGACAAAACCCTTTCTTATACTGATGATTTTGTTAAATGGCCCCAAACACAAATTCCCAATCGATAAGTCTCAACCAAGATTATGGTACATTGTGACTTGGCCCAGAACATAATTTAATTTTGTTGGAAAGAAAAATTGACTTATCCATTTTATATCAAGCGGCACCACTTTTTTTGTTCCTGTCTCCTAATACTGAAGTATATGTGTGTTTTCTTCCTCCTCATCAGTACTCTAGACTCGGCTTTGGGAAAGCACTTAATACTTTGTGGCTGCATGGTCTCCTCCCACCGCATAACTCTTTCCCATGGATAAGACCAAGGGAACATGAAACCCAACAGGTAAGCTAATTGCATCCATGTGTTCAAACTCCAAGCTTTAAGCTCTTTTCCTACTTTTCTTCTTGAAACTGACACCTACTAGCAGCAAATACAAATTAGCAATTAACAAAAAATTCCCCTAGTACCAAATAAATCAACTCCTATATCTGCTGTTACTTGGGAATTTTTCAACTTTAAAACAAATTTGCATTTTTATTTCAAACAGCTTCTGAAATAAGAGATCTACAGTAAAGATATCAGTAATAACAATAAACAACCTCAGAAATGAAAACAGGCTACACACTGGATAATTTTCATTTTAATGAAAATTTCCTAGATAATTACCTAAAGACTAATTTCAAATGACAATAAGCATCCTGACCAACAACACTATGAGAGAAACCAATAAATGTGTCAATCTATCAAGTGTTATTTATTAGGTTCCTAATGAGCATATTGTCTAAACTGTGGTTTGGGGGTGAAAATAGGGATATTTTAGAATGGCACAAAGGCTCATGAGACTTCCAATCTGATGGGACATATTCCAAGATGTTAGTTGAGAAGTAGAAGTAATGAATGCCATAGGAACTGACACATGGGCAATGGTTGAAGACAAAAAGCAGAGCCAAGTTAGCATAAGACTTCCAGACCAGATCTAGGAGTATGCTGTTAACCTACAAGTAACCTGTAGTCAATTACAAGCAGTTTCTACATACAAAAAAATCACATGGTAGTTCCACAGTTACTTTTAATTCTACATGGACTTCCACAACAGCATATCTACAAAGCCACGCTGACCATACAAATTACGTTATTAGTGGCCGTTTCTTCACTTGTTTCCAAAGTAGATTTATGATGAAAATATTTAAGTATTTCAATTACTCTTTTATTAGATCACAAAATATATTAATACTCGTTATACACTGAGCACTTATTAGTAGCAATATTAATACATTAAATACGGGGGGTCGGATAAAGGTCAATAAGATATTGTTCTCTGTCAGTTGACTTAGGGAGAAGTTTGTGACAAATTCTTGTAATCTAGTAAAAAAAAATGGTGAAATAAAGATATACAGGTAGTGGTGATTACCCAGAGGAGAGGAGTCATTCTACCACAAAATTCAGACACATAGATTTCCACGCCCCAAGAAACAGTGGTCCCAACCAAGTAGAGGGGTAAGTACATTTAAAACTTTCCCAAGTACACTGCCTCCGCCTCCTGCTTCAAGACTACTCCCTTCCAAACAGCAAGCATCCACACACTTGGCTGTAGAGATTCTAGGCACCGTGGTTCGATGAACCGTCTCTTCCTGACACTCTTTTCAAATTTCTCTACAGTATGAATATTCTTTGCCTGTGCATCCCCCACCTCTCCCATCACAGCCATCCCTGCAGCCTCACCAGCCAGGACTGAAACCCTTCCTCCAGCCCACTGCAGCCACTGGTGTCCAGGTCACACCCCAGAAGCCAGGGCCTCAGCCTGCAATGCACCCTGGACAGCTACCCTTGCAGGAAGGAGAACTGACGGCAGCAGATGAGCAGCCTCAGGTGGTGCCCTCAGAGACCACACCAACAGCCGAGGTAACTCTCCGATGTCAGAGCAGGATTGCCCGCTAACACAACGAAAGAAAAACTAAGTGGAGGGACATACTTAAATAATCATGTCTCTCGGGACTAATATACTAAAAAAAATGAATACTTTGTTAATATTCTTTCATGAGACATAAATACCCGTTTCTATTTTGCCATCTGAAATGGCACAGATTCCAAAAGATCTGCATCTCTAAACTTGTCTTGATGGACCCTTCCCTTGGGAATAAGACTATTCAAAGAAGGCCAGGCACACTACCTTGGGTTTTTCAGTGTTGGTAATACTTAGCACAGTGATTGCTTCCTCTGCATAACAAGTCAAATATTGGATTATTATCCCTGTGCAGATAAAATACAACTATGCAAAATTACCTTGTAATGATATAAAGAAAAGAACAATGGACAGAAAAAGAAAGGTGCCGTGCAACTCTCAATTCTACGTAGGAGACATTAATATTCACTCCTAGCATTCTGACTACAATCCTATAAAGAGAAACATTATGAACCTTTTTAAACCTAAGAAGATGCCAGGCTTGAAGTACGCCTTTAATCCCAGTACTCTAGAGGCAGAGGCAAGAGGATCTCTGAGTTCAAGACTAACCTGATCTACAGAGTAAGTTCCAGGATAGCCAGGGCTACACAGAGAAATGCTGCTTCAAAAATAAATAAATAAACAAACAAACCTAAAAAAACAAGCTTTGAGAGGCTATAAAATTCTCCAAGGATTACACTCAAACTAAGTGGCAATGCCCGAATTCAAACCACTCAAGCATGTGCCAATTCCAAAACTCATCGCCACTTACTCTGTAACGTACAGCAACTCCGTGATAGACATGTCTCATCTCCCTACGAGTTCACTTGAGCCATGTCAGTAAAAGAAATTGTAAAGGCATAGGTTATCCCAAGACTTAAAGAGGATAAAACAGAGAAACATTTAAACTGCTTTACCGTAATTATAGACAAGATAAGTGAGTACTCTATTTGCCTGTTTTGACTGATAGTTTCAATATTTCTTTATGATATAGGTCCCACTAATGGATTTTGCTGATCCACAGTTTCCAGCAGTAAGTACAGATCCCAATGAGATGCTTTCTTGGAGGAAAAAGAATCTCTATATTTTAAAAAGTTTGAATGAATTTTTTTCTATTTTCTTATTTAACCTATGGGTGTGGAGTATTTCTGAGTTTCTTTTTCTTAACCATTAAGTACTAATTTTTCACACTAATCAATCGAAAAATATGTTCCTGGAGCTCTTCAAAGTTGCTGCAGTGGCTATTTGCCTCTGGTGATTGACCCTTCTGCTTTCTACCTGCTAAAGGTGTTCCAGATAGCCCGTTCCATATCTCGGGGTCCAATGGCACACAGTAAAGCACCAGCTGTAAGTCTCTGTTTTCTATTTCCACTTCTGTGTTTGAAACTTACTTAAAAGATTTATCTTGGGAAGAGTCACGTTTTTTATAACTATTTTGTTCTGCTTAGTTTTACCCAGGAATGTTTTACATGTCTTATGGAGCAAACCAATTGGTAAGTCCATATTCTGTAAAAAGCATCAACTAGGTAATATCTTCAGGGTTAAAAGTCATAGAATCCATACCTAATATAAGATATTCCAAATAAATATTCCCTAAATACCTACAATTGAGATTGCAGTAGCAAGATGGCAAACTTCTCTATTTGCATAACTCTATGCAGGCACACACAATTGCATTAAAGAAGAAGTTTATTTTAAATCTGTCAAATTGGCTCTATTTACTCAATAATGACTCAGCTTTCTACTCTGCCTCTGGACACAGCACTACTAAGTCTTAAGGGAGTACTGAATGGTTTTTTTACTTTGTCTTGAGTAGATAAGGAAGTCACAGAGGCAGCCAGTTCATAAAGCGATGCACTGTTTCTCTTTTAACAGAACGCTCCTGCCCGAGTTGGCTTCATGAGTTCAGAAGAAATGCCCGTGAGTACTGCCTGCTAGCTCTTCTTAGAACCAGGGTCAGGGAGAACTGCTACAGACCTCTGCCCCCAAGAGGCAGTGACGGAAAAGTGCCTGGAGGGTCGTCAGACCTGACTGTACTGCTCCAAAACCGAAAGCTTGACTCTACACAGTATCAAAAGATTTAAAACAGTTCAGAGCGAAGCATGGTGATGATGCATAGAATCCCAACATGGAGGCAGGAGGATCAAGAGTTCAAAACCAGCCATGACTACATGAGACCCTGTCTCAAAACCAGTTGCTTTTCTCTACATTTTCTAACCATTTGTTCCTGGGCGACGGCCAGTCTTGAGCCCAGGGTTTTGTCCTTCTCCTTGTATGTGAGCAGAAGCGTCGCTGCCCCTCAAAGAGAGGGCAGTGCAATGAGCTGCAAATACTCCAAAGTAAAAGAGATGTGTGTGCGGTTTACACAGACGTCCCATGCCCTTTAGGACTGCTTAGTTTCCCAAAAGAAAAAAGTTCAAAAGTAACCCAAAGTAAATCTGCCCTTAAAAGTTAAAGAACAAAAAGGGAAAGTTGAGTTTAAGTTTTGGTTATTATAAAGCATATGAAGCCAATGAGAATATATTACTTTAAGTCAGCAAGAAACTACTGTTTTGTTATTGTTAGTACATGTTGAAATTTTCAGATTTGAAATCAATAAGCTCACATAATTTGACCTTTTCTCTCAGAAATGTCTGCTAGTTACATCTGTTAGGGTGCAAAATGAAACTAGAACTCTATCACGTTAATGAGCCATTGCCAATGGCACAGCCTACCAAATTAATAAATGTACATACATGTTACCACTAAAAGAAGACTGTCATCGCACCATCTGTTAGTGCCTTCTGTGTGCCAGATACTTAGAACATGCTAGGGAGCTTAATGATTCGATGAGTGGGGAGATAGGCACCATGCTAATAATGTCACATTCATGGGGTAAGAGTAAGGACCATGTTATTAGAAGGAAAGTAAGACCGCCCAGCCCAAGCGTTCACAGAGACAGCTCTAGATGAGATGAGATGAAAGCCAAGAAAAGTGGAAGGAAAGAATATTTGATTTACACACTACCAACACAATTGGCTAAAATTAAATATCCAAGACAAATGCTAATTACCATCTTATTAGTGATCTAATTATATTCTGTCTCATTCTCATAAGATTTTGTGATTGTTTATGAAAAACACAATAAGTATAATGGAAAAATTTAAAGGTGAGATTTAAAAATGAGTCAAAACAGTGAAGAAATCTCTCAGTTATGCTCTGATATAATTAGTCCTAGATTTTGGTTCCCACAGTCATGGCAGCAAAAGGAACATGTTAAGTTTTAGAATCCTGTATGTCCACAGAGGAAATGTTTCCTCCAGGGAAATCAATCTGTGTCTGATACTTCGTTTTTAAAAATCGAAGGAAAAGAGAAGGAAGGAACAGAACAGAAGGAAGGAGAGGGAGAGAGTGGGGAGGGGAGAGAGAGAAGACAGGAGGGAGGGGGAGAGGTGAGGAGGAGGGAAGTAGAGGGTAAGGGAAGGAAAGGGTCTGAGGGGGAGAAGAGAAGGGGAAGGAGGGGCAAAGGAGGAAGAGGAGGGAGGGAGGGAGAGAGAAGGTGAAGTGAAAGAGTTAAACTCACATAGAACCCTACTCCTCATGCTGGCCATCCTGCCCAGCCTTAACACACGGAGAGGGGCTCAGTCTTTCTCAACTTGATATGCCATGTTTTGTTGATATCCATGGGAGACCTGCCCTTTCCTGAACAGAAACGAGGAGGAGCGGATTGTTGGGAAGGGGTGGCGCTGGGAGGAGAAAATGTGGCCAGGACGTAAAATACATAAATAAATAAAATTATTTTAAAAAAAACCCTCACACATAGAGCTATATTTGAGAGATACTGAAAAATGCCATGGGCAAGATCCTCCAGAACTTTCCTCCTCAACCAAGGCAGTTATGGGCCTCACGCTTTGGTTTATGATAGTAGAACCCTTTTTAACTGCTTATTGTTTTCTTTTTATTATTCTTACTACTCTCTCATACATTACATCCCACCCAGTTTCCCCTCCTTACACTCCTTCCCACCTGCCCTCTCCCCCAATCCACTGCTCCTCCATTTCCCTTTTTAAAAAAAAAAAAAAAACCTGGTATCAGTGGAACAGTCGTAACAAGTTGCAGGAAGACTAGGCACAAACCCTCCCAGCAAAGGCTGCAGACGAAGGAAAAGGCAGGCTGTTGCTTACTGTTTTCTTAACATTAAGATGGCAGAGCCTCTACCTGCCCTTCCTGAAAGTGGCTTTCCCCGACCCAGATAAGTACAGAATCCTCTCCACTGTATTTCATAGCTGGTTCTGTATGAAGTGTGCTTTCACAAAGCAGTCAGCCAACTCTCTGTTCTGTTAGTGTTTGTAGCTTCTCAGGGAACATACCAGGTGTATATGCATGGGATTAGTAACACACAATAATTATGTCATCGATGGATATTTATTTTCTAGGGAGGAAGAGGAAGTCCTATGGCCTATGGAACTCTGTTCCCAGGATTTGGAGGCTTCAGGCAAACCCTTAGAGGACTGAATCCCAATTCACCCAAGGGCGGAGACTTCACTGTGGAAGTAGATCCGGTATCTGTAACCAAAGGCCCCGAGAAGGGAGAGGGTCCAGAAGGCTCTCCACTGCAAGAGGCCAACCCAGCCAAGCGGGAAAACCCAGCTCTCCTTTCACAAATGGCACCTGGTGCCCATGCAGGACTTCTTGCTTTCCCCAATGATCACATTCCCAGCATGGCAAGGGGTCCTGCAGGGCAAAGGCAGGGACTCCTCGGGGTTACCCCAGCAGCTGCCGACCCACTGATCACCCCGGAATTAGCAGAAGTTTATGAAACCTATGGTGCTGATGCTACCACACCCCTGAGTGATGGCGAAGCTACCGTGTCCCCTGATATCACCATGTCCCCTGACACTCAGCCACCACTGATGCCTGGGAACAAAATGCACCAGTCCCAGGTGCACAACGCCTGGCGTTTCCAGGAGCCCTGATGACCTTGAGATAGCCGCTACTTTGTGTATGCACAAGCTTTCCAGCTTCGTCCCCATAGCGTACCTTGTTGCTAAAACACTTACTACCCTTCCGCAGTGAAGGTATTAAGAGCACTAAGCATGTATTAATAAATACAAGTGGCTAGAAATAGTGTAGGTCCCTTCTTGCTTCCATTCTTATTGAAATAAAATGTATCAACTGTCTCTGTGATTTAGAAATACTATTAATGATATCAGAGCAAGTCTGAGTCTCAGCACTTGGGGGTCTAGCACTTAGCTGTCTTAGGCATTATAGAATTTCTCTTACTAGCAAGACATCATTATACCCAGGAAATGTGACACCGCTTCTTTCTCTAAGCAAAAGCACTTAGTTTCAGAATTCTAAAGTATTTCATTTAACCCTTATTAAATGGTGATTGGTGGGGAACCCTGACTGATATTACTGGGTTTCATATATTGGGTTTAAAATTCTTATTTGTAGAATATTTTATTTAATCTAGGAAAAGAAAAGGCAATTGGCCTGTTTTAAATAAAGGATTTTTCTCACTGAAAATGTCAGGAATTGTATGCTTATTATTTATATGTACTTAAAAAGTTAAGAAAAGCATACTCATCCCATGTTTGCTATTCATTAACTTATTTTATTTCATTTATTTTATCCAAAGTTCTGTGAAGATCTACATAAGCCCTAGGCACTGTGCAAGGCATCAGGTTTATGGTCCCATCCTTCAAAAATTAGAATGGACACAATTGACAGATAATCACAGTAATAACAAAACAGCCAGTCTAAGGCAAGCTCAATTACTATACATACATTATCTCACAATACTACAAAAATAAAAATAAAAATACGCTCAGGCCTACTATATATTGGCAAAGTTCCATGAAAAGACCAAGCCCTGGTACCATGGAGAAGATGCTTCTGAGGGCCCACCAGCTGTCTTAGCAGGTAAAGACAATTACCACCAGGCCTGAGAACCTGAGTTTGGTCCCCAGGGACTCACATAGTGGAAGAAGAAAAGTGACTCCCAAAAGTTGTCTTCTGACTTCCACAAGTATACCATGGCACATGTGAGGACATGTGCACCCACACAAATCCATGTTATTTTTTAAATTAGAAAGCACGAGGCTTCTAGTCCAATCCAAGTGGCATTAGAGAAGCAAAGAAGAACCAAACAAGTTTCCTTAGTAACATAAAGGTTTGCAGAATGAGACCTCTAAGAGGAATAAACAGAGTCATGTAGAAAAAAGCTGACATGGGAAAGTAAGATGGAGAAAACAACCCATGCTTACTACCAAGGCTGGGTGTGTATTCATCAGAGTAGTCTGGCCAAGTGAAGAAATTGTGAACCCAGTTATGACCATCACAGAAAATGACCCTCCTGCTCCTCTCCTCCTACTTCTAAGTTTCCCAGCCCAGGTTTTAGACTCTATAAACCCATACTCTGCCCCATCCCCTGATGAGTGGCTCAGAATATAATCAAAGAAGAAAGCACCTGAGATGTTCCCAGACCTACACCACTTCGGGAATGTTAAGAAGCAGGTTGCAACGACTTACTGCCACTCCCTCTCCAGGAAGGGCCCTGTTCTCTCAAGCTTTGCAGACTAGGGGTGGGGAAGAGGCATAAAACAAAATTAAGTTTGCCTTCTCATCAACTGGTATAGGTACAAGGGATGGAGAGCGACTTCCATGGTGGTTGGCAGCTACTCACTGAGACATAGCTTACCACTGTAGACACTGGCTCCAAAAGCAGCCTGAACAGACATGTAGTTACATCTGAATTCTATCCTTGACATCATCCCTTAAAATCTGTGAAACATTAGGTGTGAAATGTAATCTCTATGTCTGTGCTTGGTTCCTATAATGGTGCTCCTACCTGTATCACAGGGTTAAGTTCGGAAATGAGCTAAACACTCGAGTGAATTGCTGAATCACATCCTTTTCCTCTCTTCCAACTGGCCCATTTGATAGACAGAACTCAGCACAACAGCAGCAGTAACAGCAGATGGATGCAACTGTTCCCATTATCTGATGGATTTATGCTCTTCCTTCCACACAGGACACATAGCCCTTCTGCTCCTTCTTTGTAATTCATAGCACTTGGGAGACCATGTACACTGTCAACATCAGGTCCTGGGTTCAAAGTTGGCCTCTGTTGGGTGCTTAGTAGTGATAATATCTAAATCAACTTCGGTGAGAAATAAATGCGTGGTTGAGACCTTGAATGTGCTTTATCCCTTCCACCACATAGTCATTTCAAACACTGGTGTGGTACAAACAACAAAATATCCATGGGAAGAGGCTAAATGTCACCTGAAGAACAAGCCCTCTTAATTATTGAGTTTCCTCATTGTGTTTTCTCTCAACGGGGCATTTATAAGAGAAACAAATGTCTTCAAACTATATCCCATCCTGACAGGTCTACCCAAAGACCTTTCTTCTACACTCGCTTCACCTCTAATCTTTCAATTTTATTCTTTCCAAACTCCTGACCAGGAGACAAATCTAGAATTTCCTGCATCAGTACAATACTGAATCTCAGATCATCTCTCTTTACACACAAAATAGACAACCAGACACATCATTTAAATGAATACAGTTCCCTGTCTGTCAACTTCCAGCTGGCACCAAAACACCATACAGAAATCCACAAATACACTCTCCTCTCCATAAACAGCTCACAGGCAGAGTGGGCACATAATTGGTTCCTCTGAACGGGGATACATTTCACAGTGGAAAGGAGTGTCATTGATGATTACACTAGACCACAAGTGTAAACAAGTACTGCCTAAAGCAAACCTGAACATCTGGCTCCTCTGACATGGAACTCATTGTGACGTCAGACCTGTGGATGGAGGGAAAGTTCTCAAAGTTTAAAAAGAACAAGAATGTGGAAACCCAAGCTGGTTGATTCTGCAATTTACCTGTGTCCTCCAGACCTGCTGTCATATTTCTCACTGCTGTGGGATGTTCTGTATGGCAAATGTGTTGTTCTGATTTGTTAGTAAATAAAACACTGATTGGCCAGTAGTCAGGCAGGAGGAAGTATAGGCAGGACAAGGAGGAGAAGAATTCTGGGAAGTGGAAGGCTGAGTCAGAGACACTGCCAGCCGCCGCCATGACTAGCAGCATGTGAAGATGCCGGTAAGCCACGAGCCACGTGGCAAGATATAGATTTATAGAAATGGATTAATTTAAGATATAAGAACAGTTAGCAAGAAGCCTGCCACGGCCATACAGTTTGTAAGCAATATAAGTCTCTGTGTTTACTTGGTTGGGTCTGAGCGGCTGTGGGACTGGCAGGTGAGAGAGATTTGTCCTGACTGTGGGCCAGGCAGGAAAACTCTAGCTACATCTCACTTTCACTGTTATTGTGTCCTGCTTTATAATTCAATGAATACATATACCTCATAGCCCAGATAGGGAACTCTAATGACTCTAATCACTTACAGAAAAACAGCTTGTCTCTGTCAGTACCCAGCAGCAAGGTAGGAATTACTTTTCACAAAGAAACACCTAAGGTTATATGCTGTTATTTTTCTACTAGGACTAGCCACAGATCCCATATTGCTCTAGATACTTCTAATATATTGAGGTCTTCTGCATCCCAATATCCATGTGATAAGAGAACTTCCATTACAGAGACCCTTTTGCTCTCTATATGCTATCCCAAATGTTTAGCCTTTTGAGATACATAACATGTGGCTATGCTGTCTTCAACACCGAGGCCAGGGCCCCCAAGGCTTCTTTCTTCCTGTAGGTAGCATAAGAAACAACAGCTTGTTAACACCCTCAGCTATCCCAACATGCCTCAGAGCACTAGATTCTTGCAAAAATTATTCTAGGAACTTCTTCAGGGTTAAGTTCCACCTGAAGTTTACTATTTCATGTTAACTGGACCCTGAAGCACTGGCCTAAATGTCCTGAGCTGTCACAATGCCTTATAAGATATAAATAACCAAGAACTTTGAGGACGACATTATAACAGATTGCAGGGCAGTTTATCTAGTCCTAGTATTGCTCTTGCTTTCTGAAAGCAAATTGAGTCTAACTTTTGAACTGAACAGAATAGAAAGAAAGTGTCTGCCATATCAATAACAACATATCAAGTTCCACACTGGAAAGAAATATGAAACTATTAACACTACTTGAATGAGTTCACAATAACCCACTTTAACACCCAATGACACATAGTGCTCTTGCACAACCCAAGTAGGCAAATTGAGTGCAGAGATGATACAATACCCTGTCTGTCAGTAACTCTTTAATATTCTCTGCAAGACATCACAGTTTTGTTGGAAATGATGGAGTATGGTCCCAGAAGCTTCCTTCCAGCTGATAGTTCATTCCATCAGATTTCACAGGGCTGATGTAGGAAGTGCAAAAGAATCCTGCTCCCGAGTAAGTACAACTATTAATACTATATACTCTGAAGCTGAAGAAATCATCATATAGATCCATTGAACCTGTTATTAGAAAGCTGTGGAACAAGATCCCAACCGACTCATCTGACTTCTATAAGCATTGATTAGTAAACTACAAGTGATTTTCAGATGCTAAACCACAATATCCATCCCCCAGAAGCCTGAAGTTTAGATAGCTCTCTTCATTCACAACATCCAACATGGTCTCCCTAGTAGAATACCTCAAGTCCTTTCATTGAAAGTTTAAGGAAACTTGAAATGATATACACATGTGAACACATTGCAAGATCATGCCCCACAGGGTTCTGATATCACCCTAATGGGGGGCTCTAGGTATAGGAGCTAAATGAGAAATGATAAACCATGAATTCCACTATGATAACTTCAGTTAGGCTCAAGGATTCTAGAATTATTCAACGATATTTTATTTTTGAGATCATAATTTAATTACATCATTTCCTCTATCCCTTTCCTTTCTCCAACCCCTCCCATGTTCTCATGTACTACCCCCTTGCTCTCCTTCAAATCACGGCCTCTTTTTCTTTAATTGTTGTTACGTACGTGTGTGTGTGTGT